GGGGGGGGGGGGGAAGAAAACAACGTAGCGTAAACGGATATTTTGTGTGTCGGGAATCAAACTCTCCTTTCTCCGTTCTTCGTTTGTAACCGTAATGCGTTCATCGTTGTTCAGACGCGCGACACGCGAGTCCGGAGCGTCTCTCCCGGAAACGTCTCGCCCTTTCCGCATGCACAGTGAGGACGTCGCAAGGGAGGCTCGGGGGTGGGAATCGGAAAACGTGTGGTAATGCGCAACGACGCCGTTCCGATCGTTAACGAACGGCGTTACACTCCTGTCAGGCGCTGAGAAGCCTCAGCGGTTCGTCGCGTAAAAGTAAACGTGAGCGAGGAAACATACACGTATACACACACACACGTGCGCGCGCGCGCGCATATACACATACGCGCGAAAACACAGACATACGAGACGTACAGAGACGCGCGGAAGTAAAGTCGAGCGAGTCTGCAAATTTTTAAGGTTTACTTTAAGCACGAGGTCGCGTTTAACGGAAACCTTGTCGACTCGATACTTGAGATCACACACACTTTAAACCGATAAAAAGTTACGTACGTTACGTCGCGTCGCCGATATTATATCTTTGAGCACGGTCTGTGTGCAATGCAATCTGTATCACGGTAGATTTATTGTAGCAAAAATACACTGTGCGATAAAAAGAAAGGTCTCCATGTCGGACTTGTATTTCTTGGCGGCACGACGGCGGGGGATTTTAGCGCGCGCCGTCGAAGTATCGGCGAGGGCGACGCGTGTATCGCGCGTACGCCCGCTAATACCCTGCGGCTGCGAGGATCTAATTAAGGCTGGGTGTGTGGCACTAATTGGAATTTCACAGTTAGGAAAGGTACGTATTGCTTTTTTTAACATTTGCATAACCGCTTCGCCCGTAGCGAGAGAGCGCGAACGGTTGTTCCCCGAGCGAGAACGGTCCTCCGATCGTTGCCGTTCGCGAGAATTTTCAACTCGCTTTTTCTTTCCGGAGCTTGTCGTTTCGTTGGTCATTCGTCGGCCACTCCAACGGGCCCTCGTCGCTTTCCTCGAGATAATACTCCGCGCCCTTACTCGCATCGATCGCACGGAGAGGTTAATAGTTTTACGACGCAATTAATCATACCCTAATGACTCGTATCGTTTCCGAGCATGATATTTCACGGCGCTCGTCTTCTCTGAGAAACGACGATCGCTAAATTTATTCCCGTTTTCGACGCGCGTAAATAATCCTGACACCTGTAAGACGGTCCCCTATTAATGAGCCGTACTTTTTCGACGTAATTTCGAGCGCGTTGCACGGATAGATCTCACGTACGCATACGTGGACGAAAGCCCGTATAAGCCGCGCATGAAATTCCTATCTACGTTCTGTGTGAAATCTGAAATTTTAATGAAGTTATCTCGGAGGGAAAAAGATGGAAAAATCCTCCTCTGAATAACGTCATTACATGAATATCGCGGAACTCTCGAACACGAGTCATATCATATCGCGCGCCGGCATATATTCATTATTAGACAAGTACGTATTGTCGGAACGAGCAATGGAAATAATTCGCACGGATATCTCGCGAATTTGCTCGTGTATTCGTTGACTTTTTATTATTTCATCCCCCGCGCACACAATCGCCCGACGACACTCACAAAACGTCTCACGAGCGTGCCCCCCGTATGAAATAGTCGCGTCGAGCGCACTCGCTTACAATCGACCAGCACAAGCGCTATATAATTCACCGCATTTCAGCGCGCCCCACAAAACGATCTTACAAAGAATTCGCCACCGTAGTCGGATAACTTCGCTTTCTTTGATAGCCCTCGGGATTTTTCATCACCTCGTCACGATAAATTCGAAATTGCGACTTTATCAGACGCGTTATTTGAAATTCAATCGGATTACAAAACGGTCACCGAATTCAGCAAATCTCACGGCCCCTTCCGACAGCTCCCCGATCGGCCCCGACGATCACCACTCGTTATTATAAATACGTAATCTCCCGGAGGCAGATGACCGCTCGCGTTTCACACGAAGAAATACTCGCGTGTGTACACACAGAAAAATATCGTCCTACCGTTAAGAAAATCGGTTACACTCAATTTCCTATCTTCCTTTACAGTAATCATTATCTTCAATAAAGAATATTTTCTTCATATAATATAGTCTTAAAATATGCTCATATCACAAATTTTAATAAAGCTCGTCATCACGTACTCAAAACAAATTTTTTTTTTCGAATATTGTAAAACTGGATAAAAAAATGTTAGATTCGGGAGTAATTTAAATAAACAGCTCGGTTTTTGTTTTAATTTAATATATGGGATTGAAGTACTAGATTTTTGCTAGGATTCAGTATATATATTAAATAGAGCTGATATGCTGAATTTGTGTTATATTTGCAGATATATAAATTTACGAAATACTTAAAACAAATATTTCTTTGTATTTGTGTATATATGTATTTTTCTGTATGTGTGTATGTGTACATACATGACAACTTTCGTTCGTGTAATATATCCTAAAGTATCGCTGTGCATAATCCTACGTTCATAGGAAAATATGCTGTTGTATCAATAGAATTGTTCGACGGTGTCGTAATTGGAGAGAATCTTCTCGTTCGACAGTAATATCACTGAAGCTAATACTTGAGTTATTGAAACAATGTATGGACGTATTAGTTTCGATAATATTATTATTGAATCAAGAAAATTTATTCCAATTACGGTGCTACTGATTAATTCTATTAATATGTAGCATTTATTTCACTACCTATACCGTTAAAAATGAGTGTATTTTGAGCACTAATTTTAAACCATTGAAATAGAGAATAAAGTCCGAGTAAAGAATATTCAATTATTCATACTTTCTGATTAAAATACGAAATATGGGTATTTATTTTCATTTGGGAATGTATACGTGTACATGACCCATTCTGTATCTATTGTTATAAACCAGCCAGTCGTTACGAATTTGTGCAAATTGTTCGCGAGGAATAGACTATCCAAATCAAAATATGGTCGATATTTTTCATATAAGATGCATGAGATTAACACGTTCGCTACTAGCGTTACATGTGTGTGACATGATTTTTTTCTTTTTACGTTACATTATCAAACCAAGTTTTACACTATCACGTAAAAAGAAACAAAGAAAGACAAAATATCAGATAGTCTGTAAAGAGAGTCCTACCACAATATTCTAGTAAGAGACTGTGTGAAGAATATTTAAAATTAATCGTTGAATGTCTGATCTTCTTTCTCTCTCTCTCCCTCTCTTTCACTCTCTCTCTTTGTCTCTTTCTTTTGAATGTCATTAGAATTGTTGTTCGAAATATTTTTACCATCACATTCTTATTTATGTGATATATGCGGGCTTTTAGAAAGAAGTCTGCGTACAAAAATAATCTTCAAAAATAGCACGTTCATAACGTGCAATTTTCACAAGAGAACTTACGTGACGTAAGATCGAAAGTTCCGCCGCGAAGGGAAAGGGGCGGTCCGGTTTCTTTGACGGTACAAAGAAAACGATCGCTAACCACCTATGGGTAAAAATTAATTATGGAGATTATTACAGCGCAGTTTTAGTTAATAAAATTGCAATTTTTCACGGCGCTTTTTTTCACTTTGTCGAGAAACGCGGCGATAAAGCGTCCGCCCGCTTCTCGTCGCTTTCGCGTCCCCCGTCGTGCTTTCCCGGAGATTTCAGGCGCCCCAAGACCGACGATCGTTACTGTACACGCGCATATTTATTTATATCTACGCGCGAATCGAAATTCCTCCCGTTACGATATTTCGATGTCGAATACCGGCTGATGAAGTTATCGGAATAGCGCGGCGCGATACGCCGTAATGAGAACAATGCGGCGCTCCTCGAATATTTACCAACCTCACGGAATTCTGCAATAGCGCAGCCGTCACGCTGAAGCGACTACGCGAATTCCACGGATTAGCGCGCCGATTCCTCGATTAATTTAATTAAAAATGAGTAGCCGATGGAAATAATCCGGCGCGCAAAATCTCGTTTGCGCCCGTCTCGTAAAAGTCGCCGGTACGTGCCTGCGATTACATCGGGATTAATCCTATTACCGCAACATTACGCACTGTTATCGACTGGTATTTCGATTCGCGCATATATTTGCACGTGCATGCGCATGTGGGCGTGTATGTGTGTGTGTGTGTGTGTGTGTATGTGTGCGTGCACGATATATTTGTTAATCCACTATAAAAAAGGCATATCCGAGGTTTAATTGTTGCCGTTTTTTGCGATATTGATTGGTCATCTCGAAATCTCGATCTCGATGCGAGCCGTTGCTTACTTCGACTCGCAGCTGTCATCGCGTAGGTTACGCATTTTGACAGTAACAAATATATCATTTTCCCGTCAACAATCCCGTTGACAAATTTTAGCCTGGTGCTTATTTAATTACACGAATTGTAATTTTTTCGTATAATAATATCCTCTCTAAAAAAAAGGCATATCAAAAGTTCAACCCTCTAACGGCAAGGGAGATTTTCAACATATCGAAGAAAATTAGTTAGACCTCTCACTCCGTCTTGTATTCGTTTATCATATAATTAATGTGCAAAATAGGTGAAAGAAGTAACTAATAATATGAAACTTTCCTTGAGGAGAGAAACACAGCGCGTGCACGCTGTAAAGTAAATCGTTTGGTCAATCTGACCTCACCTTACTGTTAGAGGGTTAATTGTTGCTGATTTTCTACGATGCTGATTGGCTGTTTCGAAATGTTGCTTACTTCGACTCGCAGTTGTCATCGTGTAGGTTACGCGTTTCTACAGTAACAAAGATATCATTTTTCCGTCAACGAATTGTAGTCTGGTGCTTATTTAGTTACACAAACTGAGATTTTCTCGTATAATAGTAATTAGTTAAATAGCGCGCGCGTCTGTGTGTTGTTCTAGTGCTAAAATAAAATTACAATGGAATCAGGATACGAACACGAGCAATTAAATGAAGAATAGCTCACCGAT